ATGCCACGAGGAGATTCCGTGCAGTGGAAGCTCACATACAGCCCCGTTCGATGCATGTACCACAATTCAATTCTTTGGGGAAACAAATGCATTGTCCTCGCCTTTGGACAAAGGAGCAGACGCTTGTGCAACTCGTCCGTGATTTTCACTAAATGCATTCTTGTGAGTGCCCGAACAGATTCTTTGGAAGGGACATTCTACTTGTTATCTGGATAACCTTGGGCGACTGCTGTCGACTCCAAGTATCAGTAGGACAGGACAAGAACTCCAGTGAGCTCCTACTAGCAAACAAATTTACCAAAAGCTTCAACTAACTATAGCTATACAACTTGCTGCAACGTTCTACTCTGCGCTTCATCAGAAATGGAGGTGTGAGGCGCCAGCGGCCTCACGCCTAGCCAAACCTGCATCACCGCTCGATTAAAATTCCTTTTGATATCTCCTCGAGTGCTCGCCGCCCACCTCTTGCTCTTCTCTGCCGCGGCACAGCCATCACCTCATCACCAGCTGGGCCTGCGGCCTGCAGCACTAACCGCCTTGCTGATATGTGCATTGATTTATGGCATCTGGCCGTACGCTGGCACCCTATGCAATACAGCCGGTGGAACGGGAGCATTACTGTTTTAGCAAATGCAAACGCTGTGCAATTATTTCCCCATGTGGCCACTCATGCACCAGGCAGTCCGTGGATTCAACAGATCTTATTGTTCGTGCGGACTGCAGCAGGAGTGTGCAGCACTATTTTCTGGCCCAGAAATGGGTGTAAGGCCAAAAGATTCAGAATGTGTAGATTGACTTAATAACCGGAAGTAATTAGCATGCAGAGAGGCTCAGCGCTCCGGCAGCCAGGCGAAGTGGGCTCTGCTCTCAGGCTTGGAATTCGAGGCTGGCAAGGGGTGCTGAAACTGCATATTATATCACAACAACGCAGCGAAAAAGAAATAACGGGGGGAAAGCGTCTGCATTCCCCAAAGAATTTGGCCTAGAATGGTTATGCTTAGAGCCTTTGAATGCGCCGATAATATCTGGGGTTGGTAGTGCTATGTGAGATCTTATGAAACCGGAAAAAGAGGAACTTCAAAAAGCCAAACTGGTCATGGTTCACTTTAGCTGCTGCCGTGGCGGAGGCCACTACACAGCACGCTCAATAGAAAGCTGGATAGACAGTAAAGGGAAAAGAAGAGCGGCTCCTAAAATAAATTCGTGGAAAACAAAACAGTATCTCGCGTTAGTCACGAAAAACAAAACGGAGTCCCATGGATATCTATTGGCTCCGTTCTGCGACAATGGCATTTGCGAAAAAATCCCAGCTGGGGGCTTCATGCGTCACAAAGCGTGACTCTCAGAAGTCCTCAGGATGTCGCCGCTACATTAAATCTTGAACCGAAGTCTTCTTTTCCTGTATGCGCTGCCCAGATTGCGTTTATGTCTTCAGGGAAAGCTTGACTGGCAATGGCCAGCCAATGGCTAGCCAGTGGCTAACCATTTTCTAGAAAGTGGCTAGCCAGCCATTGTACTCTCCTAGACGCAGCCTGATTTTCACGTATCTCTCCCGCTCCGGCTAAACAAGTCCATACTGAACGCCAGCCCCCAAAGGCGCTGCCTCTGAATAAATAAGGTTTGAAGATCGCCAATGTAAATTCAGTTCTCAAAGGGATTGATCTGAATGTTTCTTCATCCCTGTGTGCCCTTGCTGCGCACTTCAGCATCAGTGCCTCTCGCGAGCCCCAGTCCCCATAACTGCAGAACTCACTGGGCCTGATCACTCCTAAGCTAAGTCTCTTTACATGGTTATGACTGCTAGTCATTTCATCAAAATAGATATGACTTTTTTCGAAGCCACATAGTGCACCGCTCGCCTCTGCCAATTATCCTACAACAAAAGCTCCCCTTAAGACCTACTGAGGGCCTGTAAGCACTTTCCAGTCAAGAGCTCGCTACCAGCTCAGCTACTTTTGTCCATGTCTGTGCTAATGGACTATGCTGGAAGCAAAAGAACACAAGGGCCTCCCTTCTCCTGCTCAACGCGTCCAGCAGATGGTGGAGGGCATCCACTTCAATGATTTTGGTGAAGTACAAAGGTCTTGTAATTGTCTTGGAGAAAAATGCTGACGAAGAAGTAGCCGTGGTAAATGATATGCTGTCTGCATGCAGTGGCTCGTCTTGCTCCTCTAGCCTGAAGCGTTTAGCAGGTCCTTAAGAAGATGCGCCAGTTTATTTCTGCATCTTTTTGCTTGCACTACTGCTGAAATATACAAAACATGAACGCATTATGTATGCTTTCTTCCGCATGCAGCTAAAATATACAGTAGCACTTGGCTTGGTTCTTCATTCTGTGCTGTCATTTGCTGTTGACAAGGTCGTTGCAGTGTTCTGCAAACTGCAGCAGAAGTGAAGTTGTTGCAGCAGCAGCAAACCAGCGATTTGCTTGCAGCGTTTTGCTTGTCTCAGGGCTTTTTCTCAACTAAAGCCTAGGCCTTCTCTGGAGAATATGGGTACACTTGTTTGGCAGCAACTGGCAGATACAGCAGCAGCAAGAGATATGGAAACGGGGCAGCAGCGAAGCCTGGAGGCTACAGCAGAAATGAAAAGGAGCTCCTGTGCTGCTGCTAGAACTGCGCAGCAAGCGTTCTTCTTAGGAGAGTGTTTCTGTTCAATGCCTAGGGCCTGTAGGACCTTTGATGTATCTTCTTCACTTTTTTTGTCGAGAGAAGCGTATGTTTGGAGCTCTTCGCTTCGAAACGCTGTCTAGACACCCCTCGCCGTCCTTTCTTTTCGCTTTCGGAGTTGCGGCTCTTCATTTTAATTGTATTTCCTTTCGTTTTTGCTGCAGCAGCGCTGGCCTCAGCAGCTGGAGGTTCAGCGGGAGCTCACTGCCTTAGCCTTGTTGCTGTTTCGCGGGCTGCTGCAGCCGGCCTTTAGTCTTTATAGGCTTAATTGAGGCTTATTTTGGACTTAATTTAGACAGGGAGAAAATGCAGTTTGGTATTTGTGAGGGTGTAGCGCTGCTGGGGTTTGCAGCTGACCGTTGGGGTGTATGTACAGCTCAGCGCGAGCCGGTGACTGCCACGGCGCGAACGGGAAAGGCCGAAAAGCGCGTGAAATTTGCAGAGATTTGGTTCTGTGAAAAGAAGAAAAGGTAAATAAAGCAGTTTACATCAATACTTTCAGGAAAAGCCGGCAAAAAGCGGGGAACGAAGCCTAAAGTAGGGGTAGCTGCAGCCGCCGCAGGCGGTGGGCCCCTCAGCAGCAGCAGTGGGGGCCCTGTTGGGGGTAAGATGGAGGGCTAAAGGCTAATTCGAAGAGCATTTATGATTTAGAAAATAAAAAGGAATTAAATTAGAGGGAGAAGAGGCAGACAGAGGGCCGAACAGTCCCAGAGCCGGTTGCAGCAGCAGCAGCAGCTGCTGCTGCAGGCGCAGCAGCAGCACTTGAGGGCAGCGGCTGCAGCAGCAGCAGCGGTTGTTGTTGGTGCTCCGGCGGTGAGCTGTGGGTTTGTGTCGAGCTCTTACCTTCTGCAGCAGCAGTTTGTGATAAGTAGGCAGCAAACCCGAAAGCGAAAGCGCGAAACCCCAAACCCTAAACCCTAAACCCTAAACCCTAACCATGGCCCCCAAAAGCAAGGGCACGAAGGTAAACCTCCGCGACCTCCAGCGCGAGCTCCAGCCAACTTCTCTTCTTCCCGATGCCCCGAGGTGAGTTTTATCTTTTTAATTTCTTTTCTTTTTCTTTTCTCTTTTGTCTCTCCCGGGGCCTCCCCAGACACAATTGCTGCAGCCTGGGGGCCCCCAAAGGGGCCCCCGCCAGCCCTTGCGGGGCGCGGGTCTCTCGGGAGGGTTTGGGGGCCCCTGGGGCCCCCGCACTGCCTGGAGGGCCCCCGCTGAAGGGCACCCTCCAGATCTTCTTGGCTGCTGCTGGGGGGCCCCCGGGGGCCCCCTGAAGGCCAGTCGTTTCTCCAGTACCCTCTGCAGCAGTGCCCCTGCGCAGCTGCGCCCGGGGGTCCCCCCGGGGGGCCCCCCGGGGCCCCAGGGTTCAGCAGTTGTGCTGCTGCGGAGTGGGGGCCCCCTGCGCGGTGTGCATCGGGGGGCCCCCCGAGGCCCCTCGGGGGACCCCAGGGGCCCCCGAGGACTCAAAAGTGCTGCTGAGAAGAGGCCCTTGGCTGCTGCTGCTGCAGTGGGATTTGCTGGGCTGTCTGTACACTGGAAAGCGTGGCAGAGGGGGTGGCCGAGCGCGAGGGTTTAGGGTTTAGGATTTCCGAGGGTTTAGGGTTTGGGAGGCTGTAGGGTTTATTCAGGGCTGCGGTGTTTCTCTTTGCTGTTGCAGACCGGCAGAGGAGAGAGAGGAGGAGAAGGAGAAGAAATGGAGCCGCTTCGACAGAGAAGGTACCTAGGGTTTAGTGTTTAGGCTTTAGGCTTTAGGGTTTAGGGTTTGGGTGTTGGGCGTGAGCCGCTTTTGATTTATTTCCCGTTTTGCCAAGCCTCATGACTAGCTGCGTGTGGAGCTGTTCTCCAGTTTGTTTACAACTAATTGGGAGTTAAATAATGAAATATTTGCAAATTGTAATTGGCACTTTTGTGCGCCTTCTGCGGTGTACGTACACCTCAGGCGGCTCCGGGCGCTGGGCGGATAGAGAAGATGCAGACAGCGACGGCGACTGGCGGAGAGATGCGAGGCCTCCAAAGGTATTTTATGGAATTAACTTTATTTATTTTAATTTATTTAATTGTTTTTATTTAATTATGTTCTTATTTCGTTGTTTCGGCGGAGCTACACTGGCTAGCCAGCGCCCACTGCCGGGCTCCAGGTGTATGTACACCTGAAAGCGCCGCGCCTGCACGAACAGAAACCTCCAAATATAATTCACAAAA